GAAAAGGAAGCAGATGTTGGAGTTAGGGCAGGCAGATGGAAAGAGAAAAAACCAAACTCTTAAAGAAGACCTTCTTGGGACATTTCTATTTCTAACATCTAATTGAATTTAACTTCATAGTGAACTTGAGGCACAGGCATCATACCATTTTACAGATGAGAAAACAAATTAACCAGCAAGTTGCTGAGGTGGAAGTAGAACCCAGTCAACTAGAATAGTTGGCATAGTCCACTGTGCTTCCCTTGTGTTCCTAAGAGTAACCAGATTGTAGCTTGACTTTTAGCTATTATACCGTCACTCTGAAAAATGCTCCCTTCGTGTTGATGTTTTCATTTATTCCCCTTTTCAGTTACATACCCTAAAGCAGAGCCTGGTTGTGTTTAGTGTCACTGCCAGAAGGGGTGCCTAGGACCATGCTAGGGTACTTACCATCCTAACTCTCTTCTTAACACCATGGTGGAGCATCGCCAGCCTGATGGAGGCCTGAGACTGGCTAGTGGGGGAAATGTGCTAGTGCCCCATGATCCTGCTTTCCAAGAAGAGCCCTGGGCAAGGGAGGTACAGCTGGACAGCTCCAGGCACGGGCAGCTAGTCAGGAGGGCTTGGACCTTAGAGGGACACTGCTTTTAGGTCCCATACAGTGTGGGAAGAGTGACCAGACCTTTGGAACCAAAAATCACAAATATAGCCTGGTAAGAAATTGTATGCTGCTGCTGAGTGGTAGAAGCTAACAAGGAGATGGTATTTGGGCCCTGAAATGTTGGTATTTCTAGGACACAGTGATGAGAGAATGGGCTGCCTATGTAAAATGGAACACTCTTAGCAAATCCAGGATGCAGAGTATCTGTATAGATTCCAGACAGCCAAGAAATAAAGACAGGATAGAGGATCGGTTTAGGGTAGCTGAAGAACTTAGAAATAGTGCAGAGGTAGGCCTGGGGATGTAGCTCAGTGGTGCAGTGCCTGCTTGGCAAGCACAAGGTCCTGAGTTTAATCCTTAGTACCGGGAAAAAAGAAAAAAAAGAAAAAGAAATGGTCCACAGGTCTAACAGTGGCCTTGTCTGGTGGAGCGGAGAAGAGGCATTGCAGTCTGAAGCTGTAGAGTGAGCCCAGGATTGAAAAGAAAGACTCTTTCTCAAAGCAAAATAGCTCTATGGTAGGTCCAGGAGGGGTAAGGCAGCGTTGGCTCACTTATGGAACTGAAGGAAAACAGAAAACAAAGAACTTGGCCCTAAGAGCCTGGGCCAGAAAGAAACCAATGTGTAAAACTGGGACAGTTTCCTTTGCTCGGCTTAGCTCCCTCATCTATAAGACAAAGCCACCAGAATGAATGCTCTTCAAAGTCTCTTCTAGGTCTGACATTCCATGACTTCCATATCCCCTTGGGGCTGAGTGCACTGTTTAACCTGTGTTGGACTTATGTCCAGGGCCCTCAGAGTCCATGTTCTCCCTATGCGACTTGTGGACTTTCTCTCTTGCTGGGTGGCCCTATCTCTGACTCGTGGTGCATAGATGTTTCACTGTGTATGTGACAGAAGCAGATACTTTTCCACATTTTCATTGCCCAGGATGGGTCATCATATGGAGAAATAGGGAAAGGAAAGGGTCTTATCACTGACACCACTGGAAAAGAGTCACCCATTTGCTGGTCTGTTGCACTGGATGATACAGATGGGTAGAAAAATAAGGCAATTTATTTGTTAATATAGTCAGTAGGTACCCAAGGGAAAGGGTGGACATTATGGTATTGAATTCAACTTTGGGCTGCATAAATAGAAAATTCGGTAAAGGAAATGATGGCCCAGCTCCCCGCTGAGCCGGTCATACCTCAGCTGTCTGGAATGTTAGACTTAGTGGTCTTTGCTCTCTTGAACCAAGCTGAGTAGTAAGGAAAAGAGGACTCAATGCCATGTCAGTACTGGACAGGAGATGGAACTTGCAGGAGAGCTATCTGAGAGAGGATATAACTTCCTTAAATATCCATAGCTGTCATCATGTAAGAAGGCAATGTACTTTGTAAGGCACGTGGAAAATGAAGGAAAACATACTTCAACCTGAAGCAAAGCCTCCTAAATCCAATGGTTCAAAGACAGAATTAGCCTGACAAAGTAAATTCCCTCTCTTCTGGAGAAAGAATGATTCATATTTGGTAGGTGCCTATGCCCTGAGTTACATTCATGCTAAGACTCAGCTCACTTAATTCTCATAACTAATACAAAGACTGAGGCTTAGAGAGCTTAAGTAAGTGGCCTTAGGTTGCACAGCTTCTGTGGAGTTTATTGAACACTAAAACAACGATCATATTCTTTCCACACCAAGATACCAGAGCCCTCTTGCCAGGGCTATTAGCAGAGGACATGTACATGAGATTCTCTTGAAACTCAAATTCTCAGCTAATCCAGTGAAGAGAGCAGAACTGGGTGTGTAAGGTAACCGATGAAGGCCTTGTTCCTGTGCTGGGCCAGTGAAAGCACAGCGGACTGAGTTTCCAGCTCACCTGACCTGCATCGCATCTGCCCAATCACCTGTCTGCGAGCAGACCAGAGACTGGAAGGGAAACGGCAGTGACTTGGCAGTCAGGTCTTTAAGATGAAAATATTCCTTGCTTCACAGGCAGGTGACCAGAAACAGACAGGAAGGAGCCGAAGTGAGCCTGTTTTCTATCCATACGTAGTGCAAAAGTTTCTGGAGAAATGGGATGGCACTGTTCCAAGGAGCAATGCTACTCTGGCTATAATGGGTGTATTTTTTGAATAGGTAACATATGTAGGGTTGGTCTCATTATTTGAAGTAGTTATATTCTATGAAAGTGCCAGGACTGCTTAATCATTGAGTGCTGATTGATCCACTGCTCCCAGGGCCAGGCTGACAGGTTCCTGTGAGCCTTTCGGGCACCACTGTTGTCATTGATAGTTCATAGCCCTGGCTTAGACATGATTCTGTTGAGAGACACCTTATGGAGTGTATATTATTGATTCATCAACACTGACCGTACGGTCAACAACTTGGAATTGAAGGAAGCTTATCTAACACTTATTTTTCTCTGTAAGGCACAGCAGTCTTTTAGGATATATAGCACTTCAGCACTACCTTTGGGGGCCATTTTAAATGGAAAAATCAGTGGGGCATGGTGGCACACTCCTATAATCCCAGCACTCTGGGAGGGTGAGGCAGGAGGACAGTAAGTTCGAGCCCAGCCTGACCAATGTAGTGCGACCTTGTTTTAAAATTTAAACATTTTTAAAAAGAGGGGACTGAAGATGTAGCTCTGTGCAAGGTTCTGGGTTCAATCCCCAGTATCCCCCCCTCAAGCAAAATCACGAATAAAAGTACAAAAACTATGAAAAGTATGGCACTCACTAGACAGTGGGAAAGGGTACTTACTGACCGTGTGAGAGCTGAAACAGGAAAGCAGGGCAATGTCTTGTTCTGACTCTGCCGGGCACTGGGTGTCAAGTGACTCATTTTTTACTCTGCAAATGACCACAAAGTGCTGCAAGTATTAATTTGGGGGTTACAAATAAATGTTAGAGAGTAGGGCACTTCACAAATATGGAGCCTGTAAATGAGGATTGATTATACTGCCTGCTTAACATATGGCCCTCATTTTCTTCTTGCTGCCTCCCATCTCCCTTTTCCAGTCTTCCCTCATAGCTGCAGGATCATAGGCACACGGAACCTCAGGCCAACCTGCCTTTCTAGCTTTCTGAACCTCTCAAAATCTCTGTGAAGTAGTATAATACACACCTCACAGGGCTGCTAGAGGGATTCAATGAAATGTCACTTGTTCCCTTCTACAGAGTGACAGAGGACACAAAAGGCAGGTTGTGGCAGACACTGCAGAGTGACAGCAATTCCGTATATGACCTCTAGCTGTGGCCCCTACACTTCACCCTCCACCATCGCTCATTCTGGCCTCTTGGTCAGGGCTGACTTCTCTTTGGGGTGGCATTATGTTAGATAAAACAAATAAGAAATAATAGGACTGAAGAGCGCCTCGTTTCAGAGAAGGCGCATATTGATCCTTATTCCTGCAGGCCATTGGAAAGTCCCTAAGAAAAAGTACAGGGACTGGTTATATTATAATATTTGTTCATGAATCTGATCTTAGTGATGCCTGTAATCATAGCACTGTGGGAGCCTAAGGCAGGAGGATCACAAATTTTGAGCCCTACCTGGGGAACTTGGTGACTTAGTAAGACCCTGTCTCAAAACAATAATTTTTTAAAAAGGGACTGGGGATGTAGCACAGTGTGAAGGCCCTGGGTCCAGGCACTATTACAGCAAACAAACAAAACCCTAAAAATAGAACTACCATCATGATACCAACAAGCGTGTGGATACATATCCAAAGGAATTGAAATCAGGATCTTGAAGAAATATTTGCACACTCATATTCATGGCAGCTGTATTCCCTACAAATAGCCAAGTTATAGAAGAATCCAAATGTTCATTGACAGAGGAATGGATTAGGAAGATACTGTCCGTTACCTTTATTGTTATATCATTTTCTTTCGTTAAAAAGGAAGGAAATCATGTCACATGATATAACATTATGGTACATGAAATAAGCCAATCGCAAGGTTGATTCTACTTATAGGAGGTATCTAAAGTAGCCAAATTCATAGAAAAAAAAAAAAAAGTGGAATGGTAGCCCCAGGGGCTGAGGGAAACGGAGAGAGGGAGCTGTTTTAATGAACAGAGTATCAAATCTGCAAGATCTGAAGATCGTTTCCCAACTGTATGAATACATTTAACACTACTGAACTGCACGCTTAAAACTGGTCAAGATGGTAAATTTTATGTTATGTGGTTTGTTTAGCCACACAAATAATGAAGGAAAAAAAAAATCACCAAAGCACCAGGGACCAGAAAATCAAACTGGATTCTCTTGTCATGTTTAGTTCCTATGTACAACACCCCAAGGCTGGTGGCTGCCTGGACTTGTGGGAATCTATGTTTAATAAAAATGAAATCTTGTTCTATTTGCCTCTCCTTAGGCAGGCAGGTGACCAAGGCAGTGAGAGAAGCAGTGATGTTGTCCTGTGAGTATAACATTTCTGTTAACGAGCTGGAGAGAGTTCGTGTCTACTGGCAAAAAGATAGACAAGTGGTGCTGAGTATCACATCTGGGAGAACAGAAGTGTGGACTGGGTATGAAAACCGGACCACCCTTGACATCCCTAATAATCTTTCCCTGGTGATCCTGACCCTGCGCCTGTCAGACAGGGGCACTTACTCCTGTGTCGTTCAGAAGCCTGAAAAAAATGGCTTCAAACTGCAACACCTGTCTTCAGTCATGCTCTCCATCAGAGGTGAGTGGGGTTTTTTTTTGGTTTACTCAAGGTCGATACATTCTTTTTTTTTTTTCCTCCCATTAACTTTATTGGTACATTTTAGGTATACAGTACAGCTACATTCATCATTGGGATCTTGTACCATTACATGAGTCTCTTGGTTCTTATTTTTTTTCCCCTTCCCTTGCCCTCCCTTCACCCCCTCCACCCTTCCCTATTTGCAAAGACCTTGTATCCATTTTTTTCCTCTTCTCATATTTTTTCCTTTCCCTTTTTTCCCTTCCCCTACCCCTCCCAATTCCCCTGCTCTTTTAGAAGGTCAATACATTCTTAATACCCTTAAAGACACCCTATTGATTTAAGTGGAGATTTTACCAAAGGGATGTATCTCACTTCATTTCTTAGGGTTGGGTCTCCAATTTTTCAGTCAACCTTAACTGATTTCTTAAGGTTGGAAATATCTGTTGATGGGCATTTCTTGGACTTTGACAGTCCAAGTTCATGGCCATCATCCTGGGTACTGAAGTGATCTGGAATGCCTTCTGAATCACAGGAGGACATCTTTGATTTGATGTAGCTGTACTCCTAACTGCACTTGAGCCTGTGAAAGCATTTTGGAAAGATCAAAGAGCAAGGGAGGCATAAATATTTTTCAAGTAGTGTTTGAATGTCTATAGCTATTTTACTATTATATTCTAATATTTGTACATGATTATTAGTGCATATTTGAAGTTCTCATCTAAAGTCCTCTGCATAATTAGATGTTAAAGAACTGGAGGTGCCAGTCATACCTGCCACAAGGAAAAAGATGAATTCCCAAATTAAAGCCATGTTTCTGCCCCAGTGGTGAAGGGCAGGCCTTGTTCAGCCTGGTTAGGAAGGATGCGTCCCAATCCCTGGTAATGGTGACGGTCCTGCAGTGAACTGGTGGAGTCTAGAGTCCTTGCTGGGAAATTATAGCCTCAAGCCATTCTCTTGCACTTGAAAGTTAAACCTATTCTTCTTCATGGGCATGTGAGGTTTTAGTGAAAACCAAACCTTATACTTAGTAAAACATAATGATGAATCTTTGTAATAATTTCAGCAGATTCATAGTGAATTCCACACTGTTCTTCCCTGCCTCAGTCATTAGCTATGAATCTTTTCCTGCAGTCACCAGATCACATGAAAGGTTAAGGGGTGCGCCAGAGTTACATGGAACTCACTTCTTACTCTCTTTATTCACTGCTCGTGTTGGAGCATATTTATTCTAGGATGGTGTGTCTTAAGAACTCAGAAGCCCTCCTTTTCCAAAATTTCGACCAAGCCACATGAACAAGATATGACTAAAAGTGATTAAATTGGCCCAAGGTCACAAAGAATAACTAGGTTTTTGACCTTTCTGGGGACCTACACCTCTGAACAGAAAGCTAGCCCTAGAACCTTAAGTGTCAGGGGTGGAATCCACACATTCTGAGAAGTAAAATTTTTAAGTCAAAGAATAAATGAGGAAGAGCTTAGGGGAGGTTTCTCCTTTGTTCTGTGTTATCATTTCCCTCTTTTGCTTTATAGGTTTTTATATCTCATTGGGGTCCAATATACAAGTCTCCAATGTCTTTGAGGAGTGCTAGGTGTCCCCTCTGTCCATTTCAGCACATCAGAGTAGCAGGAGAGATTACAGGCTCAGCACAGCACAGTTCGGACAGGTTTTTCTGGTAAAAGACCACTTTGTAAGATGTGAGGGAATACTAAACATTTAGGGTAACAGTCACTGCAGGGAAATAGGGAACTAGAAGGACAGGAGAGGCGAGGCCCCACAGGTGGATTTATGGACAGTCTTGTCAGTGTTCTTGTTCTCAGGTTGGAGGCTGACTCCAAAAGTGCTCGCTTGTTACAGTTTACTAAATAAATAAATAAGCTACAAGAGAATCACTGTGCACTTCAAAATCCAGAAGGAGGGAAGGAAAGGAGAGGAAGACATTCTCTGATGTCAAAAAAACTTGAATGCAAATCCCAGTTCTGCCATTGAACAGCTATGATTTTTCTAAACCTCAATTTGATCACTTATAAAACAAAATGTCTTAGGTTAAGGCCTATGAAATTACAGATATTTACCAGTTACAGGCTGAGGCAGGAAGACTGCAAGTTCAAGTTGAGCCTGGGCAACACAGAGTCTGTCTTAAAAAAAAAAAAAAGGGCTGGGTATGTGGCTCAGTGGTAGAGTGCCCCTGAATTTAGTCCCTGGTACCAAAAACAAACAAGCAAAACAAAAACCAAAAACCAAAAACCTCAGATGTTTTACCTTTTTTTTTTTTAAGGACATCATACTATGTTGCCCCAGGTGGTCTTGAATTATTAAAGCTGGATAGTATATTAAAATATAAACCTGCTGGGTGTGGTGGCACATACTTGTAATCCCAGCATTTGGGAGGCTGAGGCAGAAGGATCACCCTGAAGGATCACCTTTCAGGCCAGGCTGAAATGCATAGTGAGACCATCTTGAAAAAATATATATATATAAACCCATATATATATATGACCAGATACATAACTAGATGTAATTATATCTTTGTTTTTTCTTTAGCTGACTTCCTTGTCCCTAGTATAACTGACCTTGGAAATCTATCTACTAACATTAAAAGGATACTATGCTCAACTTCTGGAGGTTTTCCTAAGCCTCGCCTCTCCTGGTTGGAAAATGGAGAAGAGATAGATGCCACCAACACATCCATTTCCCAGGATCCCCTGACAGAGCTGTTCACTGTCAGCAGTGAACTGGATTTCAACATGACAAGCAATCACAGCTTCAAGTGTCTCATCAAGTATGGAGATACAACAGTGTCGGAGACATTCAGCTGGCAGAAACGTAAGCAACCTCATCCTGGGGACTTTCTACTCTATAGAATCCAAAAAGAAAATTATTTAGTCAGATACATCCTGGAATTGAATTACTGATTTTGATAGTAATTTTATAGTCATTGTAGACACTCAAAATGTACTACTATAACTCAGTAAGGTCAATCAATGTGCAAGGTGTGATGATAATGTTGCTGGGCTGATTTTATTTTCTTTTAAAATATTTAAAAATGTATAAACCTAAGAACTGCTGTTCATCAAGTAGTCATCTTGGCAACTATTGTAATAACATTGTTTTTAGTAAAGCACTAATATTTGTCCCATGTAATTCCTTTGGGCCTCTGGCACTTTCTTTTGGGGTGCTCTACTCCTGCAGTGCCATCTTATCAAATCTTTATGTTTTCCATCAGTGAATGTGCTTTTAAGAACTGCTAGTTCAGCCAGGCATGGTGGTGCATGCTTGGAATCCCAGCACTCTGGGAGGCTGGAAGCAGGAGGATCATGAGTTTAAACCCAGCCTGGGCAATTTAGTAACTTAGCGAGACTCTGTTGCAAAATTAAAAATAAAGAAAAAGGCTAGGGATTTAACTTAGTGTGAAGGCCCTGGGTTCAATCCCCAATACCTAAAAACAAAAACAAAATGAAACAATAAAAACAACAGCAACAAAACTATTGGTTCTTTAGGACCTGGTCTGATAAAGAAGGTGAGTGATACAATCTTTGAAAACAATACCTGGAAAAAAAAAAAAAGGTCAGTTTTGAGCCAAGACATAAACTTATAGAATTTTCTTTCCTTAAGAGGTGAAATTGGGCCAGGGATTTAGCTCAATGGTTTTGCCACCTGCTGTGCAAGCGCAAGGACCCGAGTTCGATCCCTGGTACCAAAAAAAAAAAAAAAAGAGGTGAAATTATCTGAATATAAAATATGGAGAAAAAAACTTAGTAGATTATCACAGGAGAACTCAGATACTTGAAATACATGGCTGACCATCCAGAGGACCACCAGGACTCGCCCCAACCCCACCCCGAGATATATTTTATGTGTGCCCAGTAACAAACAATACATTTGCGTATGATTTGAGTAGGTTAACTTAGGGTATAATTTATGGGGTACCATATGTCTTCCTCTTGTCTTTACTTGTCATTGAGGAGCTATTTTAGATAATCTACTGCTTCATTCTCATTTATATATAGCTCTTTCAGTCCTGAGGTGGATTTTTAAAATATTTTCCTCAGTGGATAATGAGATAAATTTTTCTGGGAAAATTAGTTCTAGTATAAACCCAATTTTGGCATGGTTTTATTATACTTCAAACTCATCTTTCCTGATAATCATTTATATATTCTAAAACATTTATAAAAATGAGGTTTGAATCAAATAGTAAAGAAAGTTTATTAATTCAGGGCTTATTTTTGCCCTATAGATAGATCATCATTTAACCAGTTTTAGAATATTCCAAAATTGAATATTAATGCAGAGGTGAATCAATAAAGTAGCTTGAATCATGTTTTAGTTGGACATTGTCTGTATTTGGAATTACAGATATGTGTGACATTCTTAGACAAGGGTTGCTGCAGTTTTGGTAAAAAGAGCCACACAGTGAGTATTTTAGACTTTGCAGTTCACACAGATTCTGCTGCCACAACTCAGTTCTGCTGTTGCAGAACAAAAGGAACCATGGAGAAGACATTAATGAAGGACACAGCTGTGTCCCAATAAAACTTTATTATAAAACCAGGTGGTACATCAGGTTTGGTCCTGTTGTTAACCAACTTATAGGTTCTGTTTTTGTGGTTGGAGAGTTTTAGAATATAAATACTTCAGATCGCACTAACTGGAATACAGGTATCATTAGAGTGAGAGTTAAAAGCAAATAGCCCATGTGTGGTTGTCAAGGGCTGGCAGTGCAAACAAACATTCATTGGGTATATAGTTCTTAGAAATGTTAAAGATTATGATGAATATTTGGTACATAAATACTTGATATGGGAAACACCAAATTCATTAGCAGATTGAGTCTAAGCTTCTTTTAGGCTAGGTGTGCTGAATCTATTAACCCTTGATAAACTGGAAAGAGGTGAACCAGGCAGCCCTGCTCATGACCTCTAGTATGAGCTTTCCATGCTGCAGCCTTACACAGCTGTGCACTTTGGACCCTGTGGTTTGTTAAGAGGTTTCTAAAAGGCAGAAGCCAATGGCTCTGTCTGGTTCCTTCTTTCCTTCACATACACATTGCTTATCTGGGATGAATGAGGCTTGGGAGTGGGTGGGAAGTGTCTCTGAAAGGAAGCCAGGAGTGAGCCAGAGCCTGAAACTTCTGTGCTTCCAAGATATCTGCAAGGGCTCCTATGTTATTTAATACATCGTTCTGGCCTGTAGTGGCCAACCCTGGCAATCACTTGATGTCTCCTTGCAATCTGGTGCTGTAGGAAAAAGGAGAAGGCAGCTTTTCCTAATTTGTAAGGGGCAAGCATCTAAATGCAGATATGCATTTTAGAATAATGACTGTAACAGCAATGTGTAGGAATTATTGTAGCCCAGGACACCCGAGGCAAAGAGGACAGCTTGGAGGCTACTAGGTGGGAGATGAGAAAAATCTGAACTAAGGAAGTTGTTGCAAGAGATTTGTGAAAAGCAAATAGTATCAGAGATATTTTGAATGTAGCAATACAAAGTACATGGGATCCTACTGGGAAATGAGAACACAGAGTTTGTCTTTTTGATTTGGGTAACTAATAGTGAAGTCATCTATGGCAGTGGGTGAATGCAGGTGGTAGATATGCTTTGGAAAGAATATGGTGGGTTCAGTTCCAGCAGGGGGAGAAACTGGCTTCCAGCCATCCTAGTCAGCAGCTGGGACTACAAAATCTGGTGCTCAGAAATGAGATCACAAATATTATACACAAATTTAGAAATCTGATGGCATTTCAAGCCTTTGGTATATGGATAAGGTTACCTAGGCAGACTGGGGCCTCAGGAAGGACATGAAAAGTACAGTATTTAAAGGACAAGAAAAAAAGAAAAGCCTACAAAGAAAACCAAATGCAAAAAGCTAAAACAGAAGGGTAGGGTGTCTTAGAAGTCAAGAAGAGGTGTCTGTGGGTCAGCTGCTGATGTGAAGTCCAATAAGCTAAAGGTCAAAGTTTACCCAAAAGCCTTGGTAATCAGAAAAGTGAAAAACTGAGTTAGTAAATGTTTAAAATGTATTTGTAAGTCATTCCAGAGACACCATAAAAGGATAAGCTGCTAAAATGCCTTTCAATTTCTATCTTGTCCTTTCTCCAGGTCTTGTTGCTAACTCAAAGGGAGTCAGAAATAAATGGAGTAGCTGCTGCACTTGATTGAGAGGGATGGCAGCACCACACACACAAATCTTTCTTTGCCCACACATTTCCTTCCTTGTGCCCCCTTGTGCTCCCTGTGGACCTGCAGAGCTCTCTTCAAGATACCCCTACCTCATACCAAGGAACACCCACCTTTATTTAGTTCTTTGCTGAGCCTCTTCTATCCTCCCAGGGGCCTGAAGGTGGATGGTGAAAAAAATGCATCCTTAAAGGGAATGCCAAGTGACTCTGGTAGCTCTATCTGCTATAAAAATGGGCTATGATGACAAGAAGGCTTTAAAGCATCTCTTTAGATTCTTTTTTTTTTTTTTTTTTCGGTACAGGGGATCGAACTCGGGTCCTTGCACTTATGAGGCAAGCAGTGGAACCACTGAGCTAAATCCCAGTCCCCTTTAGATTCTTTCTTATGCCAACTTAGTAAATGCAAAAGTTCAGATTGTCCGTTTTATATCCAATATCTGATATTTGACTATTAGTTGCCCACAGTGTGTGTATGATTGAAGAAAATATGCAAGAAAATACTAGCAGCTGTGTATTGCGAGCTGACCAGGCACAAAAGTGAAAAATTCTCTGCAGGTTCATGTAGAAGATGCATAGGATGGGAGCCAAGCAGTAGGAAACTACAACTCACATGATTCATTTCCCTCCACAGCCCAGCAGCAAGATGGTCGTGATAATCCCAATAATCAGCTCTCGGTGTGGATGAGTTTCCTGACTGCAGTATCTGTGTTTCTTGTCATCGCACTTGGGGCCCTGGCCTGCAACAGTGAGTACTACCTTTCTATCATTACAATGGCAGCTCTTGGACGCCCAGACCCCATCAGTCTGTTCCAGCACCTCTCTGTTTCCACCTATTTTCTTCCCAAACCTATGGCAATTTGTCTCAGCCATTTCTGCTCACTCACTGGACAAATATTTCTTAAATACCTTAAATGCTTGGCATTCTCCTAGGCACTGGAGTTACAGAGACAAGAAATCACTGCCCCTAAAATGCATTCTAGTTTAGTCTTTTTATTTTTCTTATCTTCTTAGAGACACCGAGGCTTGCTAACTAATTTGAAAACATCTCTGATGCCGATATTCTCATCTTTGGTTTGGAGCCTGAGGAAAGGCAGAATGACAAGAATAGGGAGGCAAGAATCATTTTCCTGGAGAAAGACAAGATGCACTAACATAACTGATGAATGACATGGCCACAAATGTTTTTACTAATTCTCAATTCTTCAAAACACATTTTTGGGTGAAAGATAAGGAGTGGTTGATGAAAAGACATCTAGGATATTTTATCCTATAGATTTAAATTTTTGACTGACACATATCCTGTTTTCGGTCTCTGTGATTAAGAGAAGAGGACCTGCTAGGTCTGAGCTATAGCTGTGGTCATCATGAAACTATGGTTGTGATCACCATGTTATCACCAATTCTTTGTGGAGTAGAAAGTATGTACACTGAACAAAGAAAATTAGAAGGCCAACACCTCTTGATTTCCCCAACCTTCACTACACACACACACACACACACACACACACACACACACACACACACACACACACTGTAGCAAAGCTCAGTGAAGGCACTGGTGCCCATGCTCTGAGTATCCCATCTCATGGGTAGGATAAAGGAGTCTGGAGAACTTGAGGTGTTTCTAATATAAACTGTCCATCCCTACCCTCTAGTTCAAGGTTCTCATCCTTAGCACTATTACCAGTGACATTTTGGGCCAGATAATTTGTTTTTTTTGTTGTTGTTGTTTTTTTTTTGAGATGAGGTCTCACTTTTTAGCCCAGGTTGATTTCGAACTCAGGGTACCTCCCATTTTAGCCTCCCTAGTGCTGGGATTACAGGCATGGGCCATGACACCAAGCTTGTTTTAGAGCTGTTCTGTGAATTATAGGATCTTTAGCAATTTTCCTGGCCTCTACTCTCTGGGTGTCAGGAGCATCTCTTGCCCCAACATGGCAACCAAAAAATGTCTCCAGGTATTAGCAAAAGACCCTGGGGGGTGGGATTGGAAATCCCTCCCAGAGTGAGAACCACTGCTCTAAGTCTAACACAGCCTGCAGGGTTACTGAGATTAACTCACCTAACAGTTTTATTGTTCATACTTATCTCCAAGGGTTTGCCCCGAGATGGAGAGAGAGAAGAAGAAACGAGGCAAGACTGCAAATACGGACGATCTATAGCGAACCAGAGAGGCAACGAGCTGAACAGAATGTCTGAAGGTAGCTTCCCTTAGCAAATCTTAACCAATTTTGAACACGTGATCATGTGGATGATGAGGCACAATCTTCCTCTCAGTACCAAATTTGAGCTCTTTTACCTATCACCTCACCTTCTCAAGAACTTCCTCGGTATTTCTCTGAACAGTTACAGGATGGTTGGTACCCTTCTCCTTTCTCCCCACGCGCACTCTGCCCTTTGCAACCTCTTTCTTTACTGTGCCATTCTGCTATCTTGAAATGGTCTTCTTCTCAGCTAGCTTAAGCTTTCATTATCTATAAAACACTGAAGTATCATTCCTGGGCTACCTTCTTATCCTGATCAATCACTTTTCCTTGTATCTCTATGGATGGATGCGGATTTGGATCATTCTGTACCAACATAGTGACACCATTTTTGATTTCTCTGCCCCTCCTCGCACACTGATCCTACTGACCAATCACCAAGGCAAATTTCATAGAGTTATTCTGTCACATCATTTTCCCACTCAAACATCTCAGGGACTATAGGAAAAGCTTCAAAAACTTTTAACATTCCAGGGGGCCGGGGATTTAGCTCAGTGGTTTCGCTGCCTGCTGCACAAGCGCAAGGGCCCGAGTTCGATCCCTGGTACCAAAAACATACCTTTTAACATTCCAGCTAATCCCTCTAGTCTATAGATCCTTAGTTCTCTCCGCTGTTCCACTGTTCTTCCCACAGCAGTTCCCAGACACTTCACATGAATACAGCGGATGCAGTGAATGGGAGTCCAAGACTTAGAACTGGTCTTGCTGACTCCACATGCAATGGGATAATTCCTGTCTCAAATGAAAGAGGTAACATGACATTAGCTTTGGTGACAGTCACACTGTTAACTTAAATCAACTTAGTGTTCTCCTAACCCCCTGGTGTTTTCACATAAGAGAAACGAGAACACTGCAGTCTGAGACTGATAGCAGGCCTGGGTAGTTATTTATAACCTTTAGAAACAGTCTAGCTTTGACTTAGCGAGTTTAGGGTAACACCAGCATAATGAAAGTCTGCTAATTTGCCTTTAAAAATAAAGGAAAATGAAAAATAACCCCTTTTTATGCTTTGCAAAAGCACTGTTTCATCTTTTTTTTTTTTGGTACTGGGGATCGAACTCGGGTCCTTGCACTTTCGAGGCAGGCAGCGGAACCACTGAGCTAAATCCCTGGCCCCATAAGGACTGTTTCATCTTAATCTTACAAAAAATGATTTTTTTCTACACTCATTTTTATAGGAGAGAAACCAGAAATGCCCAGAGGATGAGTGAGGTGCACAAGGTCACACAGACCAGGAGCCAACCAGGACTCACAGGGCTTCAGGCCCCAGCTCCTGCACTACAACATAGCAGCCTATTGGTACTTGGTCCAAAGCAGTCTCTTTAAATTCCCATTCTGTTTTCATTTCAACATAATTGCTCACTTTCAGGATATTCCTCCCCCTCTGTTTCTGTGATTATGTAGAATTTCCTTAACTTTCCCTCTATCCTCAAGTATTCTGCTCAGCAGGGCATGGTGGTGCACACTTGCAATTCCAGCACACTGAGAGGGTGAGGCAGGAAGACTACAAGTTTGAGCCCAGTCCAGGCAACTTAACAACATGAAAGACTCTGTCTTGAAAAGAAAGAAAAAGAAATGGGTTGGGGACATAGCTCACTGCAGAGGCCCTAAGTTCAACCCCCAGTACTGAAAAAAAAAGCCTTCTGGTCTATTGATGCTTCATAATGAAGCCATGAATCCAATCTTCTACATAAAGTCTTATGTGGCCACCTTGACAAGTTAAAGCAATTCTACGTTGAACTTCTATATAACACAACACACCACCTTGGGTTTATTTCAATAATCCCTGTTTTATATCCTTTCCTAGACTGTAGGCTTCTTGAGAAGAGCAGCCTTACCCCACACGGAGAAGAGTAACTTGATGGACAGCATTTTGTTCTTTGGTGATAGCTAATGCATGAATATTTGCTTGATAAGTATTTCATGAAGTAAAAATTAGACTAGTCTAAATTCTGTATCTTCCTTCATATACTTCAGCTTTGAAAATTAATACCTACAATGTTACCTCAAGTTGGGAATATACTTGGCCTTAAGATCAAAAATATATACAATTTTAGTACGTTGTTTCTTGCAAATTTAGGACTTTATTCATTATTTCCACAGGTCCTGCCTGTATCTGTGATGACTTCTTCTAGAAACTTCTTCAGACAGCCAGGATGATCCTGCCTGCGCTCTAGGACAAAACTCTACCCTTCTGTGCTCTGCATAAGCAAACTAGTGGAATATTGCATGGGCACCACAGTAGCCCCGGTGACCTTGACAAGCAGGACTTAGAAGTGAAGAGTTCCTGTCCAGAAGGGAGAATACTAAGGCCCAGGGAGAGGGCTTATATTGTGAAGGCCAGAGCCAGAACACAGATTTCCTGGTGCTCTTTCCCTTCTTCAGTGAATCACCCAAAACAGAGTCCTTAAGAGATAATACAAATGGTACCATTCAGCCCCCAAAGCAATAGAGATTGGAGAGGGAGAGTTTAAATAAATATTCACAGTCTATGGTTCATATTGGACTGATAACCTCTTTAAACAGCTTGAGGCTAGTATGGTCTCATTTGTGAAACACTCATGAGAAAGTTCTCATGTAAGATGAGATAAGTTTTTTACTGTGTATGTACTGGGTAGTAAGCGGTCTTCAGAAATAAGTGATGGAGTTGATTTCAGGGCTCCTTAGACCTCTTTTCTATTTCTGGATCCTCTAACATCAGCAGAGAATTGAAAAGAAAGAAGCAGACAACTGCTGTTCCTGTGTTATTCCCGATTCTTTTTCTGAAAAGGCCTTCCACAACTAGTGGACTAGGAGGGGACCCAACCTAAACCGGGACAAGATACTCTCATCTGAAAACATGTGGTTGGACAGGAAGTTTCTCAAATGTGGCTGGATTTAAAATGTTTCATTTTGGTAGCTGTAAGGGGGACAGATTCTGCTCTACAGCATAAGAAATGAAGGTATGGTTTTTTTTGTTTTGTTTTGTTTTGTTTTTTGGTACTGGGGATCAAACTCGGGTCCTTGCACTTGCGAGGCAGGCAGCGGAACCACTGAGCTAAATCCCCGGCCCGAAATGAAGGTATGGTTTGAAATGGTTCTGCTCAGAACTAAGTCACTGAACTTCTAAGTCAAGAACTTAAAGCAAGAAAAACAAACACCATAAAACCCAGGAACTACAGCATGGAATTAAGATTCATAATTCTTAGACATAATCAAAACAACACCTGAAAAAGAATTACTCATAAAGTTAAGCCTAAGGAACAGCTTAGTAATTAAATTACTTATTACATTTGATAAATGTATTAGTTTTACTTTTTAAAAGTTATATTTTACTTTTATTATTGTTTTTGTGATATGAATAAACATCTTTAAAAGCAACTCTCCAGTTTTATAATTTCTAGTTGAAAAGATTTAACCTGTATGTGATAGTGACCAAGACACTGAACAGTGCCAATTTGTCAGCAATTTATAAATTTAGGAAAAACATGCTTTATGGAGTACAGTAGTAACTTGTAAATCATAGAGGCAATATGCTGGCACAGAAGCCTTCATAACCTTGTAGCTACTAATACTACTAATACCTGTGTGCCAGAACATTGAGCTTCATGCTTTTCTGTTGGAATGGTTTTTTTTCCTCTACTCTCACACCAATCAACAGATTCCTGTAACCTCAAAAGATATGGCGGTTTCTCCCAACCAGAAAGCAAGCAGTTCATTCTGCAGGGGACACAAAATGGATGTTCTCTAATCCAATTCAGTTCTGACCGTGTCTACCCAGAGCTAGCACTGGATCCCACAGGTTAAGGGCTCAGTCTCTTATGACTGCCCGCACCTTAGATGCCAATCGTAAGCCCCAGGTTGTTTCACTTGTGCTTCTGGCCAATCAGTATGAAGGTAGGTGCCCACAAGCCCATTCTTGGGTTTGATTAGTTTGCTTGAGTGGCTCAAAGACCTCAGGGAAACATGTTTACTGGTTTATTATAAAGGATATTAGTGAAGGATACAGGTGCATAGGGCAAGGTCTGGGGAAAGGGTGCAGCTTCTGTACCCTCTTCCTCTCAATCTGCAAAGGCCTCCTCCTAGGAAACTCTTGTGTTCAGCTGTCCAGAAGCTCTCCAAACCCTTCCCTTTTGGGTTTATATGGAAGCTTGACTACACATGCATGACTGACAAAATCTCTGGCCACTCACTAGTGGTCAACCCAACCTTTGGTTCACTCCCCTTACCAGAGTTTTTGGGGTGGGACTGCATGTGCCCATCCTCTAACTGTGCACTGGTCTCTGGGTGAGCAGCCCCCATTCCCATGGGGCTGCCAGCCAACATTAAACTCAGCATACACAGGGACACTATCACTTCAGAGACTGCAGGGACTTTAGGAGTTATATGTCAGGGACAAAAACCAAATATATATGTCATGGTATCACACTGTACAAAAATTAACTTAATAACCACTCTCAAGTAGATACTATTTCACTTGGCAGATGAGAAAATTGCGACAAAGTACAACAGCTTTGCTGTATGTCACATGGCTACTAAACTGCATGCCTGAGAAAGCCAGTGGTCTGCCTCTTGAAGCTCTGGCTTTAGCTACTACACTATGCTTGCTGCTGTGGGACAAGAGTATTCTTAGTGTAGAAGCAGAGAGGTCCAACACCAAAACAAAGTACCAGCAGGTTTTCTCCAGTGTAATAGCCGTCTCCCTTGTCTGGGAGGCATACATTCCAAGAAACCCCAGGGGATGCCTAGAAGTATAGGTGTAACACATCACCCAGAATATTCACCTTTTTGCTTACAGGAAGCACTCTCCAGCTTCTCTTTGGCACATCTGAATTGCTGGCATTACTAGCCTTGTATTTTGCAGCCATCACTAAGAGACACAAGGGTTACTTGACTATAGGCACTGTGATCTGACTGAAGAGTTGGTAAAGTATGCAATGTAAACGTGGTGGACACAAAAATGATGGACCCATCCAAGAGCACGACTTGAATTCCATCATGTTATTCAGAAAGGCATACGATTGAGTCTGAGGGTGTAGTTTGGTGGCAAAGCACTTGCCTAGCATGCACAAGACTCTGGGTTCAATCTCCAGTACCACACACACACACACACACACACACACACACACACAAACACACACACGCATATGCACAAAGGCATATAATTTAAAATTTATAGCTTATTTCTGGAATTTTTCATTCAATATTTTTGGACCACAGTAACTCAACTGTGGAAAGAAAACTGCAACAGTGAGGGGGCTGATGTACACTTCATTTCATTATTTGTCTCCTTCTACTTACTAACAGCTGATCCACAGAGTGTCTTCCTTCTTCAGCAACAAGCTTCTAAGTCCAGGATGGTGTTCTCCCAGCAGCTCCTGCATACTACAGCATACCTTGAAAGCTGCAGTGTTTGTTGTAATGTTGACCTACTTTCTTTTTGTTAAATTTGTATTTTAGTTCAAATGGCACAGGCATCATCTTTGATCCTTACTAAAACAAGACCAACACTACTATGCATTTAGGCCCTCATTGCTTCTGGGGCTGGTTGTTTCCTTGCCTTCCAGCCATTCAAGAGAACACTTTCAAAAGACTATGTGAGTAAACAGAAAACCTGGAGTTCAGCTTTAATCTTTTGGGAAAAGTTTTAGTCACTTTTTATTTGTTTGTTTTTTGTGGTACCAGGGAATGAACTCAGGACTTTGCGCTTGCAAGGCAGGCACGGTGCCACTGAGCTAAATCCCTGGCCCTACTCACTTTTATAAGATCCAGATAAAGAAATCTAAGTATATAGATCAATCAATAGACCAACAAACATTTAAATATGAATTTAAATTTAAGGATAAATAAAATGAGAGTACAATAGCCCAATTCTTGATTCAAAAAATAAGCACAAGTCAATGCCACCACAGTCACCAGCATTCACACCTGTCACAGGCTGGCCTAAGAATGGCGTGGCACTGACATCCATGGACGTGGCCATACAGCAGTTCTCAACTCCCCCAGGTGCTTCAATTCCAGAACATTCTCAGTCCTCGCCTTGTTTATCCAGTGATGAAGGGTTTCTTGGGAGGCTCAGCAGGGTTTCGATTTTCTTAGCATCATCCTGGGATTGATTTTTCTGTAAATGACTTTCAATATCCTCAGGGAGGAACTCAGTGAATTGCAGTCTGGCTCTCCTATAATCAAAGAAGTAAAAGTTCTCAGATTTAAAACAGAAAGGCAGTATTTGTCTTACTGTGCCTGCTTTCATATGATAACTGAGGAGCAAACACTGCTTGCACTTCAAATACAATGACTTTCTTTGCTCTCTAACAGCACTCACAAGCTGCTATGGCTGGAATCCAGAATGTTCCCCAAAAGGCTCACTGTGTTGAAGGCTTGGCTGCCAGCTGATGGGCTTTGGGAAGTGATTAGGTAACCCATCAATGAACTCATTAGCTGAATGGGCTTCTTAAGGAGTGGGGACTAAGCAGAGAGCATGTCCTTGAAGTACGGCTTCCTCTCTGGTTCTCTCACTCTGCCTTCTGGATGCCACACCCTTCCACCATGACTTTTCTGCTTCAATGTAGGCCTGAAAGTAATGGAGCCAGCTGACCATGGACTGAAACCTCTGAAACCATGATCCAAAATAAATCTTTCCACCTTTGTTTTTCTCAGCTATTATGTCACAGCAATGGAAAGCTGACCAAGAAACAAGCCAACCACAACTCCCACAACACAAAAATGGACACTGTCATGACAGTGGCTCTGATCCCTAAGATATTCCACATACTGGGTCCAGAGTGCTCATAGCAGGTGTAAAGAAATGGACAGACCTTGTGTAAGTCTCCAAGTCAGGCCCCTCCTCTTGGCTTTGGAACTGGGGGAATGTGAGCACCCTGTCACTCTATAAATTCTCACCAGACTTTGTATGAACTGGACAAAAGCTGTTAACAGTGGTGATCCAGGAAGAGAAAAGTCAGGTAGGACAACACAACAGATGTACATTTATGAAGAGTTAGAATCTAACTTCGAAACACTAGATGACTTCTTTTCCTAACTATTACTACTGTATCTTCCTTTCTTTAAGTGATTATCAACCTACAACTTTGTCAACTCAACTCAACCAGATTTGACCGTTTCTTCTTCCATATCCATATCTTTATAACCAGTTTTCTACATTTTCTGCTAAGGCAATTTTTGAAACACTGATTTCCCTATATTATTTTCAAGCAAAGCAGCAGATGCATAGAAGGTACTTAAATATGTATTGAACTAACTCTCCTTAGAAATAACACACACATGTACAAACACCACACATCTGTAAAAGTATCTTTTTAACACTATTTCTTTTTGCAAAATATCCTTTCTTTACTATACAGTGGTACCTCAGTTCACAAATGGTTTTGTTTGTGAACAGTTTGGTTCACAAACAGAAGTGTCTGGCAAAATTTTTTGTTTTCGAATTCTGCATTGGGTAATGAACATGACTATGGCCATCTTTTCCAGAATCATGGAACAAATTAAGTTCATGAACCGAGGTACCACTGTAATTAGTTATTGCTTTCACCCATTCTTAAAGTTTTAAATCTGTAAATCACTAAGCAACTTTTGTAGGTTTTTCTCACTTCCTTTTTATTAGAACATAGTTATCATTTGTTCATATTTTCCAAAATGTTAAATTCTTCCATAATATCCTACATCAGAGACAAATAGCCAAATTTTTGCTTTCCTTTCTAACCTCTTTCTCAAAACTTCCTTATCAAAAAAGATGATTTTGACACCTAGGAAACAGGCAATAAGCTGATGTTTTTGTGCTTTTAATTCTCCATAATACCCAGTTTTGATGTCATTGAGAATTTTAAGTACTCCATTCTAGAGCCTACATAACTGCATGCCCCCACCCACCCTAAGACCATGAAGAAGAAGGAACAAAACAAGTATTGGGTGTTGTGGTAAATTCTGCCTAGAGCAACTGAAAAAACTACGGGCTTGAAGTTAAGGAAAATGAGGTCACAGAACTAATTCACAGTCTAGCTAGGAGTTAAGCCTAGTTTTCAAGAATTCACAGTCCTCAGACAACAGAACTATAGATATTAAGAATTTCTGTGTGAATGTGTGTTAAACACAAATAGAGATTTCAAATAAAATCAATGGAAAACATGACTGCTCATCTACCCAGTTACAGGGACAGCAGCAGCAGTAGTCCTTGTCAGTACCCAGGAAGCTGACCCATGAGAATCATTTCTACTCGGCCTGTACTAAGTACACTAGACGGCAGCCCATCATGTTGATCTTACTTAGAATCTGCAGTCTGCATCGGTCTCATTACCCTTTCCCAGAAAATGGGAAATCACCAGGAAATTACCCAGGAAATCACCAGGTGGAATAGATAAAGAGTTTCCATGCTCCTCAGTGGCATCCCCTCCATGGACAGCCACTCTGTCCACTTCACTTCTCTCAGTCTGCGGCAGGAAGTAGAAGTTCTGAATGCAGAGACTTAGAATGCTCTGCTGTGTCAGCAATATAGGGGATATCATTTTTTACACAAGACAAGTAACGTTCACTCCTTAATGTGTGTTCCCTTTAGGTAACTTCCTACACAGTTAAGAACACAAGAAAAGAAAAAAAAATGCAACCAAGTATATTTACAGCATTTTAACTTTTTTTTTTTAATCAAATACTGGGAATTGAACTCAGGACCTTGTGCTTTGTCAGGCAGACACAGTGATGCTGAACTACATCCCCAGCCCACATTTTAACTTTTTAAAAAAAAGTGTCTAAATAAAGATCTTCATCAGATTAAAAGTAAAAGTAGTGCCTTTCATTTTCCTGTTTTCCTTCATTAGGTGAAAAGACAGGAAGGGTATCCTTGAGCTGAGTGGCAGTCGGGGCACCTGGGTTAGGAGAGCACTCTCAGTAAGACTGTGGCTGGGGAAGATGGTTCTCACAGCTGCTTACCACTCTGCCAGCTTCTGCTCTTGCAGGGCCTGTTGATCCTTCTGCTTCCTCTCCTGAACTGTCTCGCCACAGTACTTCTGAAGCGCCATCAACAGGCTTCCCACAGGAGTGCTGGGGAAAAGTAGAGTAAGAGCTCAGAGAGAGCAAGCCCTCAGGCCTGAGACTGCGAACATCAGGACTCCTCAGCACCACGAGCCACCTGCTCACCATCGGACATAGGATGTTTAACAAAGTGTCTTTGTTGAATAAAACAATATTAAGACCATCTCCTTCCTGGCCCGAACAACAGAGACAACTGCAACTTCCTAATATCCACTGGAATTAAAAAAAGAAAATCTAGAAATTGGCTCTTTCTTAAAAATCATGAATGAGAAGTAAACCAGGACACAGAGGGAATACGTACATTTATGACCAGTTCTAGGAAGCAGGGCCAAATGGAAGGCTTCGCAGAGATGAAATGACTAGTTCACAATAGTACCAGTGTCCCAGGGGACAGGAAAGGCAGAAGGCATGCTTTGTTAGGGGACAGATGCTATCAGCTCTGCGGGGCAAAGCTACCAAAACATCCTACAAATCGAGACTTTGACACAACTGTCTCAGCTGCAAAGCCAACAGTAATACACTGAGGAACTAATTTACATGATAATTATTACAGTGATAGGGAGAATTTGCTTCTTTGAGCTCTCAAAGAGTTTTGGACTTTGGCATAACTTAAATTCCATTTGGTGCCACTTATTTTCATTTGAAAACAATTTTTGCTAAGTGGAAATAACTCATATGTCTATCCACAGAGTGGATAAAGAAAATGTAGTTGGGCATGGTGGTGGACACCCATAATCGCAGCCCTCAGGAGGCTAAAACAGGAGGATTGAAAGTTAGACTACCACTACCCTGGGCTACATACCAAGTGGAAAGCCAGCCTGGAGTATACTGTGAGACCTTGTCTCAAAAACCCCCAAAATAAAGAAACAAGTAAAGAAATAAGCAAACAAATAATACAAACCAGCTTCCTCAGACAGAGTGGAAGCAGAAGATTCAGTCTGTGAAGGGTTCCAGGTACCGTTGCTGGCTTGAACACATCTGGGCCCCATAGGAAGGAAGGTGGGTGGCCTCCAGGGACAGAGAGAGATCTCAGCCTGGTTGATGACCAGCAAGGGAGCAGCGACCTCAGACCAGAGTTCCATCAAGTGGATCTGTCAACAATCTCCTTTCTGGAGCTTGAAAGCAGAATCTGCCCCAGAGCCTCTGGGTCAGAAGCAGCCTGATCAGCACTGTGCTCTGGACCTCAAGAAACCCTGAGCAAAGAACCCATTTGGACCACCCAGACTTCTGGTCTGCAACGCTACAGGGTCACAAATAGGGGCTGTTGTAAGCTGCTCAACTTGGGGCAATTTATTAGATAGTAACATAAAACCAAGATAACAAATACTTGGGGCCAGGGATATAGCTCAGAGGTTGCCTGCCTGGCAAGTGCAAGGTCCTGAGTTTCATCCCAGTACCGGAAAGTGCAGAGGACCATAATATTGATTATGCCCAAAGCAGGCTGTGAAGTTAACCCAATTGGCTTGTTTACAGAAGTGAGTCTGGCTGAAGCCTACGTGGTGAGGTCTGAGTAACTCAACCCGAATTCCATTCCCACAACTAGAACCTTCAGACTAGAAGGACAATGTTCCAATTATAATCATATATTTTGTCTATTCTGTTCCTAATTAGAGAATGTCTTGTCCTTTATGAGCCTTGTTTACATTAATTTCCATAGAAACCACAGGTCGCCTTTACCCCAGTTGATTGTCAATAGAAGTCAGTGCCTGGGACTGTCCAGTGACTTTGTTGGTTGCACCAACATTGGTCGTCCTGGCAGCCCGCTTTCGCTCTCTTAGTTCTGTCTCCTAGTGGTTTCTCAGGCCTGGGTAGTATACTGGGCAGGTAGGTATTGGAACCTGACTACAGGGGTCTCTGGCAGGAAAGAAAAAAACAAATACTTAAGTATTATTTATAATGGGTGACACAATGTGGCTCTTCACGAGATTGACTGAAAGCACAGCTTCTGCTAGGCTGTCGTTTCTGATAAGAACATTTAGCCTAAATAGAATCATGAGGGGACAATAAAAAAAAAATTGAAGCACATCCTGACATTATTGTTGTAATTGAGTAATTTTGAATATGTACTCTATTTTAAGAGTTATATTGAATCAATGTTAAGTTATTTATTGTGATGATTGTGAGTAAAATAAACAATTAGGATAGAATTACAACCAGACAGTCAAAACTACTGCCAGTGTAAGACTAAAAGATCTTTCATAGGCTCTCAGGATTAAATTTGTTCTTTGGAAATGAAAAAAACAAAACAAAAAAGAAGTTTTTGTAGTACTGGGTACTGAACCCAAGCCTTTGTACTGTGCTACACCCCTTGCCCTTCTTCAGTTTTTATTGAGACAGGGTATCACTAAATCACTACATTGCCCAGGCTGGGCTCAAACTGGTGATCCTCTTGCCTCAGCCTCCCAGAGTACTGGGATTACAGGTATGTACCACACCTGGAGAATGATATTTTTAATAGGCAAGGTATTAATAAACCTACCGATGTGGAATCAAACCATGTTAACACTTACCCCAACAAGGCTCCAATTATACCACCAGCCACCAAGCCTCGCAAGCCTAAGTTTATTCTGAAAAGACTTCCTGTGACAGCTATTTGAAAAGAAAAAGGTAGTATTAAATTATCTAGAATTCCATTTAAAATTTCCTTTCTATAATAACACAGCTGCCCTAAGTGAGCTTTCTGAAGACAGCATTAATATACCACCACAGCCTGGCTTTCCTGACACTATAAAGTGCCCACACAGGTGCTTCTCATCTACCTCACAGACTCAAAGAAATGTCCCTTTTACAAAAATAAATCCTTAATAGTTCTATGGAGTCAAACTCTTCTCACTGTGCTTCATTTTTGTCCGTTTCCTCTTAAAAATCTGTGGTTTCTTCCACTCTACCTAATCTTCCTTCTTCAAGGAAAGATCCTCCCCCAAAACAACTTCACAAGACCCAGTATCTTATGCCTTCCCTCACTCAGCCTCTGCCTGCCTGCACTATAATACTACTTTTGAGGCTGTATAACAGGTATCATTTGGCCTACAATGCCACCTGGTGGCTGAACAGGGGACGTGCCTCTTTTCTTTCCTGCTCATCCATTTTCCTCTATGCACAATGAAACTAATGCTCTCAGGCGGTAACATTTTTTTAAAGAACAACATTTGAAGATAAAAAAATAACATTTGCGGATATACTTTTCTTTAAATATATTCATTTTTTAAATTTTCTAAATGAACAAAAACAAAAATCACCTTTACTCAGAAAGTAATATAATGGTCTTTAAAAATTTTTTTTTTAGAAAATGGGGGATGTACATATTAAACTTTTTATTTTTGCTGAACATATTATTAAACTTTATATCACCAATTTTCTCCCAGATGAGTCTACTGCA